TGAAAGAACAAGACAGTGTTTGTTATTTTTGGTCAGCCTTATCCACCTTCAATAATAAAATCCTGAGATTCTCCGGTTTTGGCTCAACCCCCTAGGACAGAAGAACTACGCATTAATGATGCCACAGTTTGCCAAGCTCGAAGGCCATAAAGCACAGAATTCCCTCTATCGGGAAAAAAGCGGGGAAAGCGGACCCACTTTTTTTATTAATAAAAAAAAAAAATAACCCATATACAACTTTCATAATTACATAAGTTGTCCAGACTATGAACCTTAGCTTAAAAAAACACTGCGACTGCGATCTTTGAGTCATTGACCACTCTTATTCTCTCTATTTCACTCCTTTCAATCACTCTCTCAATCGCTGTCATTTCCACTTCGTTTATGTCATTCATCCCTTCTACCCTCTCTCCTACCTGTTGCCATCCATTCCGTTCTCTTTAGGCCCAGCCTACGCTCATCTTTCCATTAACCGCCCTACCGGCGTCCATATATACTTCGGTCATGTTTTCACACTCCTCCAGTACTCTTCCGGCGTTCCAGGGGATACCCTTTCCTTCTGTCACTCTTGCCCTATTTTTCTCCCTTCCGTTCGCCATCCATTCCTGATATCTAGCCGCCGCCTCTATGTTGAGTGGAGCTACCCTGTCCAGTAGTGTTAATGCAGCAGTGGCGGTCGTCCTGTAGGCCCCACTTATCACCAACAGAAAATGTCTCTGCGCGGCTAGTATCTGTCGCCTTATCCTAGTGTCATTCGCTCTGCCCCCCACACTTGTACTCCGTACAGAAGTGCAGGTTTTGCCACCCTTTCATATATTATCCTGACACACTCTCTTCTTACATTCAGTTCTCTTCCAGTCCATCTCCTCATTCTCCTCGCCATGTGGTCGATAAATAGAAGTTCTCTATCAACAACAATCCCGAAGTACCTGACGTTCTCTTTCACTTCTATTGTTTTCCCATGCATTCTGACCACAGGTGGTCTCTCCACCTTTCTTGCTGCTACAAACATACATTCCATCTTTTTGTGATTGTAGTTGACCCATGTTTCGTCTTCCCATTCCATGCATGCCTCCATACCATACTCCATTTCTTCTCTATAACCTTCGCGGATGGTCCTTCCACAATCAGCATCTGATCATCTGCATAGGCTTGTGCCCACACGATATCAGCTCTGACACGCTGCTCGTAGGGAACTCCCTCGTTCACTCACTCAATTTCTCGTTTATTCATTTCTCTCAAGCTTTCGAACCATCTTTCCATGATGATGAGACATAGCGTAGGTCCCAGGCTTGATCCCTGTGGACAGCCTCTGTCCACGGGCTCTACCAGTCTTCCACTCATCTCTTCCCTGTTCCCTATGAAGTTCATGCAAAGCTCTCCCATATTCCCAGGAACACCCATTCCTTTCATGCTGTTTTCGATGGCTGGGACCCAAGCCGAGTTGAAGGCGTTGGATAGATCCAGCGCTACAACCAAGCTGTGCCACCCTTCTCTCTTATTCTTCTTGATACGTTCCACCATCTTCTCTAGTGCCATTACCGTGTCTCTTCCCGCACGAAAACCGTATTGGTTCGGCGAGAAGTGATCCCCTTTCTCACACCGTTCAAAAGTCTGTCTAGGATTCTGCCGAGAGCCGGCAACAGGCTAATCGGCCTCGGGTTCCCGTCCTTTTTTGGTATCCATACAATCTTGATTTTTTTCATACCCCCGGAAAGTACCCCACTCGCAGACATTGGTGCAGATTTGGACCATTTGGCCTCTCAGAGTTTTAACTGATCGCTTCAGGGCCTCATTGGGGATCCCGTCGCAACCAGCTACCTTACCGGCTTCCAGGCCTTCGGAGACCACCAGGATCTCCTCCGGCTTGAATTTCAACTCGGATTCGCCCCAGTAATCTTCCTGGGCCCTCCTCACCCTCCGCCTGGCTTCGGAGTCCAACTGCTCATCGTCCCGGGAAAAGTAGTGCGAGGAGGTACCTATTTGTCTCCTCAACCCCTCCGGTGTATAAGCCGTCGTTCCTCCTCACCGAGGTGGGTATTTCGCCGGCTCTTTCATCCTCTAGCATCCGATACACTCTGTCCCAAGGTCTCTCCTGTTGTATTCTCTCCACCTTCTCCTTCACCCATTCTATTCGCGCCTTCTTCACTCCTCTCTTGTACTCGTTCCTTGCTCTCCTGTATATCCCCAGTTTTTCGGTCCTTTCTTGTCCCAGTGAGCTCTGCAACTCCCTCCGTACTCTACGTACGTTTTTTCTCATTCTCTCTAGCCTGTCATACCACCATTCATTTTTGCCTTCCACTGTTCTAGTGATCCGGGGTATTGTCCTATTTCATGCGTCCTGTAGTGTTCTTTCCATTCGTTCTACCTCTCTCTCTCTATCCCTTCTCTCCCATTCACATACTCCAGTTGGAATCGAGACAGGATTTTGTCCATCCTGTCCTAATTCGCACTGGCCACATTCATTATCTTCCTTGCGCCCCTTTGAGGGCCATCCGCTATAGTTATCACAATCATTCTGTGGTCGCTTATCGTCTCGCCTGCTAGCACTCGCCACTCGTCTATTTGCAACCCGTCCGTCACTGTTATGTCTACCCAGCTTTCTCCTCTCGTACTGGAGAATGTTGCCATGCCATCCCATTCGTTTTGAATCGTGTAGCCATTTGTAGCTACCCAATTCAACATTTCCTCCCCTCTTTCATCCGTCACATTTCCTCCCCAGGTCTCATTCTTCGCATTGAAGTCTCCCAGAATGATTTTTCGTCCTTTCCATGCGACGAATTCGTTCCTAGCTCTCCTCAGATTCTCACCTATCACCCTGCCTGGTTCATCGTATACATTCATCACCTTCAATTCTTTCCTTTTACTTCCTACAATGACTCCTATCGCGTTTACGTTTACTTCCCCTTTATAGGCATGGGAGTCGATATCCTCCCGCACCCAGATCCTGACTTTCGTTCCACGGCCAGAGTCAGCCTTTTGCCAACCTTTCCATGGACCTTCCCCGACCCAGGGTTCCTGTATGCACACTATAGAAGCCCCGAGTCGTTCGGCTATTTCCCGGGTCAGGTGGGTCGAATGTAGGCAGGGGCAGACCCTGCCTACATTTATCTGAACTACCTTAAGCATTATGGTGCGCTCGACTCCTCTGTGCCTCCACTCTCCTCTGGTATACCGGGCACATGATATCCATTGCTGTATGTGTCCTTTCTGTTAGTCCCTCTCTTCTGCAGTTTACGCAGTTGAGGGGCGCGTTTCTCTACAGTCCTTTCCTTTGTTCTTGCCACCACATTTACTACATGCTGGCTCGTCTTTGCAATTCCTGGCACTATGTCCAAAGTGGCAACATTTAAAGCATATGCCCACGTTCGTACTTTCTTCCACATAGTTCCAAGTCATGTCTACGGATATCCGCCCTGCATTGATTAATCTCCTAAACGCAGTTTCGTTGGTCGTGATGGTCACGTTTTCCCTACAACTGCTGTTTCTGCACACCCTTCTTCTTACCACTTTTAAGCTGTCCCATTCCGCCTGTGTCCAGTCGCTCGTGAGTCCAGCGTTCTGTTCTCTGAGTACTGTGATTATATCCATGGGTGTGTACCCCTTGTCAATCCCTGTGAGTAGGAGCTGCGGAGTTAATGATGTTCCCTGAGCTCTTACTCTTCCCTCTCTCTCAATCGCTTTCCTGATTTTTTCTTTCGCTATTACATTCTTACTTTCTATTATCATGGCCCCACTCTTGTGCCTTCTCGCATAGCTTACACCCTCCATGCATCCCTCCTGTTGTAGGCACTGCCTCACCACTCTCGCTATGTTCCTCTCTTTTGTATTGGCTTCCGGATACTGGTTTTCCACTATTTCTAATGGTGGCGGTGGGGTTTTTCACCCAGGCCTTACTTCTTCTGTTGCCTGTTGTCTTCTCTTTTGAATTCTGTTAAAATCTGCGTATGTTCTATTGCCCGTTCTCTTTTTTCTGCGCCGTCTGGCTCTACCTTCACCAACTGTGGACCGAGCAGCGTCAGTTTCCATGTCCGTGATGGTCGCTGCCTCATTCGTATCGCTGACTCCAGAGGGTGTCAGTATCACTCCTGTTGTGCATGCTGTAGGTGTGGGCTCTGGTACCGTCTTTATTGTATCGAATTGTGCGACAGTTCTTTAATTTCCCATGTCGATGCGGTTACCTGCGAGGCCAATGCCTCCAGTATATCTTTCACTTCTGGATTCATCTCTGTCTCTCTCATGCTCAGCATTCTCGCTCGTTCTTTCGCAAGTTCTCTCGCAACATGTCTCTCCGCTCTCATCCGTCCAATCTCTTTCTCATATCTATCTACAATCATACTCACCTCGTTGACGATTCCCAGGATGTCCCGTTTTACTGCGAATTGTTCCGCCTTCGTAAATTGTACTTTGCCGCTTTGATGGCGGCTCGTGGCTTCCTCAATTTCGTCCAGCTTGTGACGAATGAATGCCAGTGAGGCATTTCCTCTTTTCTTTTCAACTTCCACCTCTGTCGCCTCTTCCTCATCTTCCTCAATTGTAGTGCTATTAAGTTTTTCAGTCACAATTCTATCAATATTTTCAATCGATTTGTTTAACATACCTATCCTGGACGGATTCCACCATGGCCCCTATGGCTTCTTTCACTGCTACCTCGATTATCTTCTGCTTATTGGCAGCTCTTTCATTTTGGCTACTTCCCTTGATTGGTGACCTCAAGAGAATAACCTTCGGATTAAATATTTCCTTTTTGTTTGCTCTCTCCTTCTCCCTATCTTCCTCAGAACCATCCTCTTCCTCTCGATTCTGCTTCCTCTTTTTGTCTTCCATCTTTGGAAGGCCCTAGCAGCGATTTCCTACTATTTAGCTTTCTCCTGGCAAGTTTTCAGGTTTTGACGCCCCGCGTTAAAATTTTAGTTTTAACGCGAGAGTCGTCAGACTCTGTATTTACACTGGTCTATCGATTTTACGGTTTTTGTCGCCAGTCGTCAAAATGACGCGGGCGTCAACATTTTTCCCTTCCTTCAAAACAAATTGTGTCCGTTCGAAAATGGCCGGTTACTTTAAGGTCATTTTAATGTTCCCATTCCAAAAAAGCCAGCCACTTATGTTCGAAGGAACGACAAAATATGTGAGCTGATTGAATTCCGTCGTTTTTGGCTGTTGGCTTCGATCTTTTTATGTGTTTCATTTCACTTTCAAAAGTCTATTTTCCCATTTACTATTCTTGAAGTTCAAATGTAACTAATTTCACTAAATTCACTATAATTTGCAGATGATTTTCATACTACTCACTACTTCCTAAGTTAAATTTATCCATTCGAGTCTATAAAGTTTGCTAATCTCCTCAAAAACACGTCTGTCCTCAACAAATTCTCGAGGGACAGTGGTAAGTTTTGACTAACTTTAAACGTACAGATGTATTCTAAACTTTGTCACTCATCAAGAATCGGTGGCAATCGATCCTGATCAGGATCGCCAGGATTAAATTATTTCGTCACACAGTCTCTGGGTGAGAGCAAGTGAAACAATCACACTGTCTGTGCATGCTTATATATTTTATATTAATAGTTGGAGTATAATTTTAAAGATGCTCTTTGTTTGACACCTACATTGTTAAGAAACGCCTCTTCTTCTGTTCCAGTCTTTTGATTCGGGATATGGAGAATTTGAGGTTATTTTGAAAATAATCACTACCATCAAGTATTTGTTGCCGTTATCGGCCACAGGAAAATATTCTAGACTTTCTACTGCGACTCTTTCGACGGATGATTTCACCAGATGTTGGGACATTTATCTTGTTTATTGTGGGGCTCATTCTCGAAGAGTAAATATCACATCGAGAATGGACACCACCATAAGTAACCGAAGGAAAATGACTCAACATCTGCTGGGATCCCCTTTCGAAAGAGTCACAAGAAACGTAGCAGAACATTTTATTACAACTGATAAGGACAACAAATAACTGATGGTAGAAATTGATTATTTCTTGAAATAACCTCAATTTCACCCTTGTCTAAGGCAAAAGGCTGCTACAGTAGCAGAGGCGTTCCTTAACAATGTATTTGTCAGACCCATAGACTGAAAAATATCCATATTCAATTAACCAGAACCCATTTACGTCAGTTTAGGATAAAACAAAGATCATAACAAGCTGAAATTCCTTCAACTATATATTATAGAGAAGCGCAGTCCACGAAACGACAGATTTGTCGTCTTCTGACTACCAAATGTTGGATGTTTCAATGTTTTACGTTATTTAGGTCTTGTCGCTACTGGTAAATAGATATTATCGAGTTGGTCTTCTAGATTGCCCATCTGTTCGTCTGGTTCACTGTTCATTTCTTCCATGACCCGCTCAATTATTTTTCCAAACTTATCTCTTTTTACTATGCCACTGGAAATCTGCACTCAAGCCTATATTTCTTTGACTTCTCCTTTAACTTTATTAATTTCATTATTTATGATAATAATTACAAATTTTCACAACATAGAATTCACTTCCAATAAACGTTTCACTACATCAATAGCTTCCTCAGTCGGTCTGGTATTCTACTATGATTTTCCTTCATATCTCTTCCTTCTCAAAGATTTCGCCTTGCACCCGTTCGATTTTTTTTTTTGGAAAATAATACATAATTATGCTCAGTGGCGTACTGAAAGGGGGGGTTCCGGACACCCCGAAATTTTAAGACATATTAGGAAATAAATTGAGCATGGAGCAGGTGAAAGAAAGTTATCATTAGTCCTGTCTAAAAACATTAAATTATCATACCATTGTTGATTTGTCCTTTTGTTTAAATCATAAATTATCATACGTTTGAGATCGGCCGCTTGGGTATAGCTGGCCGAATTTCGACTGGACTGTCACGGTCTAGTTCGCACGCCAGCCGCTATTGGAAGCACATATCCATTGTTCCACCTATCAAGCCCGCCATTACGATTATCGCCGAAGATTTACTTGTGTGTGACAGACGCCTGTGACAAAAACTTCTATCCTGCTATCAACTATTTACTTCAGGTAACTATTTAATATTATAAAAATACAAGTATATTTTGATAATTTTATTTGTTTTAACACATTTTCTTTTAGACACACTATTGAAAAATATATAAATCAAAATGATTTATAAATACTAATAGTAAAAAAATATTTATCGAAAATAAAACTATGAAAAATTAAAATAATCCTTAACTGATTTCTGGTCAAAACTAAAAGAAATCAAATAGAAATAACTACAAACAACTTGTCTACTGCAGGTGCTTGCTACACTACCAGTCTACAGCAGAGATAAGAGATCCTTCTCATCTCTCAAAAGAATTAAAAGCTATCTTCTGTTCTCTCTCTATATATATATCTGACTTTCATAAAATAATTGATCATTGCACAGTTCATCATTATGCAGATGACACTCAGTTATATTATCTTTCCTCCAAGTAACTGGCAGGTGGCAATGAAAAAATCTCAGCTAATACTTTTTGGCTCGAAATACAAAAGGTGGGAAATTGAGAAAAGAATGGAAATCCAACTTGGACAAGGCTTTGTACAAATAATTACAGAAAGCAAGAACTGAGATTTCACAAACATATAAATTCATTTTGTCGTAGCTCGTACGTCAACTATATCAAAGTAGAGTTATGAATTCCAAATTGAAGTTGAAACTTTGCGAAACCCTCATATTGTCTAGATTAGCATATTGCGATATAGTCTACGGGCCTACTTTGATACAAATGTATGTAAATCGCTTACAAAAAATACAAAACAATTGCATTAGTCTTTCTTATGGTGTGAGAAAATTGACTATATATCCCCCAAGTTCGAGGAGTCAGGTTGGTTACCGATTGCTAAAACCTGGCAGTTCCACCTACTCGTCAATTCACATAAATTCCTCATTTACAAAAAGCCAAATTATATTTATGAAAGATATAAAACTTTCAAATCTCAGAATAATTCGAGGACACGAAACCATCACACTTTTATTATTCCAAAACACACGACAGCCTGCTTTTCTCTTAGTTTTATTTACAACTCTTTATAAACAATGTATGTATGTATGTCAATGAATAAAGCTCATTTATTATTATTGTTATTATTATTATCTGAGGAATTCTAATGAACGACTAAATGGGCTTTCTCTATTGTCAATTCATTCTCATTCATTGTCAACTCCAATCAACAGTGATGAAGTAATCGATGAAATGGTCAGAAGTGGAAATAGGAAAGTAGTGCTGTAACTTAGGACATTATTGTTAAATTTAAGTGTTTAATTAGTTCAAAACCCTCTATTTAGTACCCTATTTTTCAAAAATTTTCCCGAGGGTACCCTCGGACCCCCGTATTCCTGGCAACGCTACTGAATGCTCCTTTAAATACTAATTATTTATTGTTTAAGCTGTTAGAGATGACGTTGAGCTGCTAGGAATGTTACGTGGAAAGAAAAACTACGTATTCCAGGAACTTTATTTAGCGGCTTCAAAATGAATTAACCCCAAATATAAAAAGAGTATTTCAGACGTATTTTTCAAACAACTTGATTGACATTTACTATTGTCAAAACTACGCATCGTATACAGAATGTTGGCAGGAGTTGCCTCATTCAACATAAACAACATATATTTTTTGGTCTTTTTCTTCTTCCCTCAAGTTTTCCTTTCATTACCACTATTTGTACCAATTGTTTGGAAAATAATGAAAGAGAAAGTCTTATGAAATTTTTGAATTAACAAAATCTACGCCTGATTATTGTTGTTCAGGAATACTGCAGTAGATTAAATAATGAACTGATTAGTGTGATATAGTGATCTGAAATTCATATTTCCGTTGCTAAAAACATCAAAAATATTCAAGTTGAAATCACCCATAAAAATATGTTGTCATTAATATACGAAATAACAGTGAGACTATCTTGAAATAAATCGGAATTTAAATGTTTCATTAAATTTTTTTGGTTCTTGCAATTCCTTAAGTGAATGAAGTGATTTCTAATGAACTATGTTTGACTTATTCGCCATAAAATTGGGGTAAAATTGTGAAAAATTACTTCTCGTATATGTTAACGAAATAGTTGACACCGAATCTGAAATGATTTTGTCAAAGATTATATAGAGGTTTTCCGAAATTTTTAGAAAACTCTCTATTATTTTTTTCAATGGGGTCTATTAAAATACTTGAACAGTAATTTACTCGTTCTGATGGCTCCGAACAGAAATTAATTGCGAACACATACAATAATGAGAAAATAATTGAAAAATTATGATTTTTCGAAATTTAATTTCCATTCACTATTCCATTTATATAATAAGTTTAAGTTCAATATATAAATGGAAAAAGTCATATTTAATCTTCCACTACTTCGAGTGTATCAGCACTAAAACAATAGATATTTTACTGATGTGTTCTGAGTAGTATCAAAAATGGAGGGCTAAATATTTTACAAGACTGATATTAGTCACTAGTAAAATCATATCTGCCCTTCCAATGTAGCTATTTCTTCATTCAAACGATTATCATTAGCTCGCCTCATATTATTCCAAAATTACCGGTAATTGTTCAGGCGAGACAAAAAAAACTGCAAAACAATTACCGTTGTTGTAAAAATCCATCCTAATAATTAGATAGGTAGTTTGTCAAATGCCACAATGAATCAAGTATATAACTTTCACCTTTACTCAGTTTATTAGAAAACGTACAGCATTTGCCATTTAATGAGTTGTTATGAAATTAAAATTTTACCTCATTGTTTATATGCGTTGCCCCATTTGCAACAATATCGATAAGAACTTTGAACAAAATTTTATACACTCTAACGTTATAAATCTTGTTGAAATAT